TCACCACAAGGCTCCAAGGAGCATGTGATTATCATCTCAATGTTCCACATGCAGAAACAGATGCCTGCACCCAGGCATCCAGTTTGAACCCAGGGAGTCAGGCTAAGCCTGTGTGCACAACCCACGACACTGAGCTGCCCAAAGCAGTTTGCAAACACAAGTTGTGCAGACTCAAAAATGCTCCCCCGGGGCATGCCTCATCAGAGGGTTAGGGTTAGGGTTAGGATCACCTACACCCCACAGCCCTCCGACCAGACCCCTGGATACACAAGGCTGACCGCACCTGGGTGCAGATCTTGGAATCAGTTGCCCCAGCCTTGGGACTTTGGCACCCCCACAAATCTGTCAGAACGTGATGCTCTCCCCTCCACACCTATTTTGCCCCCATCAGCCACCTCTAGCCCAGAGATGCAGAAGCTAGTGTCATGAAGAAGAGGGTTCCTGGGGCGGGAGGAGGCAAGGAAGAGAGCAGCCTGGCCAGAGCCCAGAGATTGATGGGCTCCGCTCCATGAGGGCCAGAGTCAGGCAGTGATGTACAGCCACCTGCCAGGGGGAAGCCAGCCTCATGCCTAATCGGATCAGACACCCCCTACCAGGTCCCCTCATTCCTCTACCTCCTCCTCCCAGCTACTGACCCCTCCTTTTGCTTCCCAGCCCCGCCCTGTCTGAGGTCTCCAGCTGGCCTGGTTGATTTTATAAATGGCGCTTGCAGGAGGTGGGCACCTTGGCTAATTGAATCAGCACCCAGGAGGCAGGAGGCAGGAGGCTGGTTAGCATCACAGCTGAAAGGTAGTGGCAGCAACAGCTTGAGTAGAGCCATCAGGGAGGAGCCTGTGTGAACAGAGAGGCCCAAGCAATCTGGGCCTTCATATATGCTGAGGGCCATGGTGGGAGCTCACCAGGGGGCTGGCCACCCCCACTGCAAGCATGGGAGCAGGCTAATGACCACCACAGGCCACACACACACACACACACACACACACACACATACAGCACACACACTCTGAAAAAATACAAAGGGAGGCAAGAGAGGTAGAGAAGCAAAGAAACAAGAAGAATGATAAAGTATGCTGTGTGCGCACACCAATAGTCTATGAATCTGTGTACACATCTCTGGGCTGGGGGCCTGTCACGATGCTATTCCTACCCTGACACCACCTCTGCATCATAGAGTCATACAATGCACAACCAGGTCTCTGCAACAACAGGCTGCACACAAACCCCATAAGATACAGCAGAGTTGAAAAATACCCATCGCCTGGTCCTCTTACTGTTCCTTTTCTGTGTTTATATACATTGAGATACACAAATACTGTTGTGTTACAACTCCCTACAGTATTCAGTATAGTAACATGCTGTACAGGTTGGTTATCTAGGAGCAATAGGCTATGCCATATTGATCTTTATGCATATATATGCCATACAGCTAAGAAATGTGGTAGGCCATTCCATCTAGGTATGACATTCACATGATAAAATGCTTAGTGATCAGTTTCTCAGAATATGTCCCCATTGTTAAGCAACACGTGAGTGTAATTAGCAAATAAAACCAGTTTATAAGTGTCCTGGTTACAGCTTAGTCTCTTGTGGTATCAACAGCTGCCAGGCAGCCGATCCTGGAGCCAAGAGACACTTTCTGGGCAGAACTGCCACCTGATCTTCCTTTGCCTGGTACCTTCAAGGCTGGTTGGTTTCCTTACCCATGAATTGTCCCTTGCTGGCCCCTTGTTGCTCTTCCCTTGAAGGAGCAACAAGCCCCATGCATCTAAGGACCCCTTTGTGGACGTGTTCAGTGGTCATCTGTGCTGTGGGCCCTGCAGTGTGTGTCCACAGGGCAGGCAGGCCTGTGGAGCTACCCACACCCCAGCTCCCAGTGAGCTGGACCACGGCGGGTGCTCCATGGCACTTTTTGACTGCAGGAATGATGGGCAGGCCGTGGGTGACGATGGCAAGGTTGAAGCTGGCTGAAGTGGCACCAGCAGTTCTCTGCAGGTGGCCCATCCACTGGATCATGTTTTCCAAGAGGGGCCCTGAGGGTCTGCTCAGTGTTTCCTCAATAACTGTCTCAAAGACTTTCGGTATCCCCCCAACTTCCCCCTAGGCTCCACTTCCCTGCCCTGTCAGCCTTGCCCCACCTTTCTGAGCCTTCTGCCACTTCCCCTTGTCAGGCCATGCCAGCCTCAGGGTGGAAGGACCCAGAAGGCTCTGGATCTCAAAAGTGAGAAGGGCCAAGAGCAGTATTCAGCTTAGGACCCCCACCTCCTGGTCCACACTCCTGAAGACTGTGAGTCTGCGGGGACAAGCTCCGAAAGGCAGATTCCTCCAGCTGCTCCCAAACCTTTCTGGTAGCAGCGTCCTTCCTTCAGGTCCTAGACCCCAACCAAGCCCAACACAGCTAAGCCCCCTGTGGCCTTTTCCACAGGCTAACACTGCCCCCTGCTGGGCCTGGCTGGGATGGCCACAGAGGAAATTAGAAAGATGCCTTCCATTGCTCAAGACCCCTAACTGCCAGCCCTACCCACAGAGGGCAGAGACTAGGGTCCTCAGGAGCATTGGGCCTTCCTGCCTCCAGGAAACCTAAGGCTGGGATTGAATGCAGACCTTGGTCACAGGAAAAATAAGCAGGAAGGTCCCCACCCACTATTTCCAGCCTGCCCATCCCTCTCTCAAATTCCTTCAGGAAGTTTTGTCTCCATGTGTGGCAATGCTCCTGAGGGGCTGATGTCAACTCATGTGCCTGTCATTCACTTCCCTCCTCAGTTCCAGAGCCTCTCTCCAGGCCAGTCATCTTAACTCGGCTCCTTGGGAGCCTTGTTCTCAAGGCCTGAGTCTCCCTTAAAATCTGCCTTCCCTGTGGTCCACATCCAACAGGACAACAGCTACAGGAGGTATCTCTGTGACACTTTTTAAATCAGTCTTTTCTGAGTTTCCCTCTTCTGTTCAGCCCATAACCTGCCCCCTCCAACCCCAAGTTCACCTTCCAAGGGGTTGTCGAGGGTATTGTCCTAAAGCTCCAGTGGGACTCTCTGCTCAAAAGCCTTAATTCATTCTTCCTTCCTCTCTAATTAGGTAAAAAAAAAAAAAACTCTCTGCAACCTGATCAGAATCTGCCTTCCCACCCACAGGCATTCCTCCACCTATGCTGGGGTATTGGGTTCCATTCTGGTAAGCCCATGTATCATAAGTTGAAACTATCGGAAGTTGAAACTGTCATAAGTCAAAAATGAATTTAATATACCTAAACTAACTTAAGGGGTCATATATTTTCTTTTGAATGCAGGAGCTGGAGAGGAAAAAGGAAAAGAAAGGTGGGGGTGGATCTCTGAAAATCAAAAGGAGCTCAGTAGAGGAAAGGGACAAGAAGGTGGGAGGTGAGAAGGGAGGGGGGAAGTGCTGAGGACTCATACTGGCCAAATTATATTGTTATATTGCATCGTGTGTGCATACAAATATGTAACAACAAAATCCATATGTATAATTATACTGCATCAATAAAAAATATGGGGGAAAAATAATAATATACTTTAACTACTAGGTGGAGTTAAGAGCTGGGGCTAGCTGCTGCTGCCCAATCTTGAGAGAGGTGATCATACCACATATGGCTAGCTGGGGAAAAGATCCAAATTCAAAGCAGGGTTTCTACAGAATGATATTGGTTTCACGCCATCATGAAATCAAAAATCCTAAGTCGAACCAAGGCAAGTCAGGGATGTTGTGCACATCGCTGTATCCTCCCTCTTAAGTACAGAACTTCTTACCTCCCTGTGCAGTCTCAACCGTGTTCTTATTTGCATCCAGAATGCTCTCCCCATACCCCACTTAAACTCCACCAAACTCCTTCCCACCTGAAGGGTTCACTTTAAACACCTTTGATAAGAATGAAGCCTTTCTTGGTCCCCCAACAAATAGTAATCTCCTCTGAAGCCCAGGGCCGTGTTTCACCTCTTGTGGCACTCATGTTCCCTCTCAGGACAGACATTTCTGCCTCCTCTGTCCTTCTGGGCTATGCACAGCTTGAGGTCAGGGCAGTCCACAGTGACACACACCGTGACCATAAGTGACTCACAGCACTGATATCAGAAAGATATAAATATCCCTTCTCATGAAAGCAGGTTTTGATGAGACCACAAGGACAGAGACCCTGTGGTAAAACAGAGTGCAAGGAGGACTCAGGCCCCAAGGGAGAATTAGAGCTGGAAGGACTCTCAGCTCCCACGTGAGCAAGTCCCTCTTGTTGCCAAGAGGGCAGGCCCCAGGGGAGGGAAGGAACTACCCAGCACCACGCAGCCATTGAGCCCCACTTCTACTGTGTGAGAGGCCCAATAATCCAATCCTTTCCTTTCTTACAGTTTGGCTTTTTATCAACCCCCCCCCCAATGCATCTCCCACCATTTTTCTTGCAGTGACCCTATCCTGGCAAAGAGCAGACGTGTGGGAACACGGGTGTGGTTCAAATTTCATGTACTGGAAATTTAATCCCCAGATTCTTATATTAATGGTGTCTGGAGGTGAGATCTTTGGGAGGTGATGGGTCATGCGGCAGAGCCCTCATAGACTGGAGCCAGCCATACACAGATTAGTGGGGTGTCCAGGGAGTGGCTTTGTTGAGCTCTCTCTGGCATGCTGGCTCTGTCTTGCCATGTGATGTCTCTGCCATGTTAAGATGCAGGATGGTCCATGACAGATACCAAGCAGATGCCAGCACCATGTTCCTGGACTCCCTGGTCTCTAGACCCTTAAACCCAATAAACCTCTATTGTTTATAAATAACCCAGTCTGTGGGTTTATAAATAACCCAGTCTGTGGGTTCACAGCAACAGAAAACGGACTAAGACAAAGGTCTTCCTGAGGACACCCTGACTCCACGGGCCTCTGATTCTACAGATGGTTGGGGCCCAGTCTTGGCCTAGGGAGGTCCTTGCAGCTGGACAAAAAGGTGTCCAGTGGTGGTCAGTTGGAGTATTCAGCCCACCCCCACAGCACTCAGGTCATAACAGAAATAGTTCAAAAACATTTTAATGCCACGGAGAAATCTGAAACCTGCAGAAAGCTGCAGCCATCCTCCTGGATGCCTGGAGCTAAGGCTGTCCCAGGGAGGGACCTCAGCAAGCAGGAGGCCAGCACAAGCCAAGGAACCATGGGGTGAGGGGAGTCCAGGAGATTGTGGATATCCTTTTCTCCTCTGCCCTAAATGCCCCCAGGTTCCCTTTAGGGTCAAAGAAAGAAAAGAGGAAGTGGAAAGGAGTGGGAGGAGGGTGGGTCTCTCCAGGGCACTCTGCCTGCTCAGGGCTGGTGACTCAGTGCGCCCTAGGAGGGAGAATCCCTCAGGCCAAACAGGGCAGGCCAGGCCTGGGTCTGCAGACGGAGCCCACAGAGATGCTCCACGCAGTGGCCAAGCTGGAAGGGGAGACAGGCTTCCTCCTCCACAGTCTCCAGCCACAACCCCCCATGTACTTCGAGGTGGCCCCATCTTGGCATCCACATCACTTTGGGCTTTTCTTCAGCACAACATTGTCATACTCAGTTTCCTGTGGCCAGCCAGAGACAGACAAGTCCTGCTGCAGGATGCTGGGGCCCCTTTCCACGGTGGCCTTCCTTCTCCACCCCTCACCCTGGGGCTCCTGCGGACTGTCATACAGAGACAGGGAGGCCATGCCCTCAGGCTCATCATATATGTGGTCAGGTGGAGGGGCTGAGGGCTCCTCATACAGAGGGTCAGCCAGGAGCAGGGGAGGGCCTGCCAGCATGGCCCTGAAGCTCTTCCCCAGGTTGCGGGCTACTGCATCAAAGGGCAGAGCATATTCCCCCTCAGAGCGCGCGGCCGGCACCAGCGTGCTGGGTGAAGGTGGTGGCAGTGAGTCGTGGGGCCGGGAGTAGGGGCTCTCCGGCCGGGGCAGCACAGTGGGCACTGTGGACACTGTGGCTGGTGGGGGTGGGGGCCCAGGAGGGGCAGCATCCTTCTGGGCAGCAATGGCCTCTTCCAGGGCCAAGAAGATCTCGTTGCCTTGCCGTGTTTCAAACTCAAAGTTGCCCTCTCCAGAGACACAGCGCCGGCCCGCCTCAAAGGAAAAGGTCGTCTGCAGCCAGGAAAAAGGCACTGTTGCTTTCCTGGACTCCCCCCACCCCAATAAGACCCTGTGCCCCCAGCTTCCATCTGCCAGGAATGGCCAGAGCCCTCTCCCTGAGCTCCTTGCTCCTCTTCCCTCAGTGTCTTCCTCATAAGCAAAACGCCCCCCATCCTCTCTCCCACCCTCTGCCTCCACTGAGCACGGCAACTGGGCTGCAGTCCTCCTGGAGACCCAGGAGCCACTCCACTCCCTCACCTGCCGCCCCCTCTCTCCCCTCGCCTGGTCCCTCCCCATGGCTTCCCTCGTCAGCCACCTCTGCTGATTCTCTCCTGTGGACCTTGCTGCCCGCCTTCCTCTTCCCTTCTACACATTCCCTTGCACTAATGCGCCTCTGATCACCTTCCTTCTTTCCTGGCTCATCCTCTCAACCTGCCCCAGTGTAGTCCCTCACTCACCTTGTCCCGCCCAAAGCGTCGCAGGAACCTGTAGGGCCAGTCGTACAGCTGGGTGCCTGGATCAGGGCCACTCCACAGCTCCAGAGCACTCACCCCCAACCGGAGCGTGTAAGGTCCTCGGAGCCGGCACCGCTCACTGGCTTCTGTGGGTCTCACGGTAACAGCAAATTCCTTGAGGGAGACCCCTGAAGAAGGGAGGAGAAAGAAGGCAGCTAAGGGAAACAGCTGGCAGCCCACGCTGCCCGGGTCTAAGGGGATGTGCCGGAGGTCTCTAAAAACTATCATCCACGTGCTTGTGATCCCAGCCCCGATCCTGAAAGCTGGCTGCTGTGTGCCAGGGGACCCCCCCCCTCATACAAATACCAGGTCCCTCCACTCCCTACCACAGAAGGCCTCATGCCCTCAGACCTCACCCAACCTTGGGCCCACATCCTTCCTGCCACTGTTGCCAGAGCCACAGCCTGGGCTTCTCCACCATCTCTCACCCTGAACCAGCAGCCCCCCAAATCTGTGCTGTCACAGCTGCTGGTGAAGCAGGAACACACCCTCCCATGTGCTTCCCACAGGCAGAGCTTAGATGGAAGGCAGCCCACCAGCTCCCTCAGTGTCCACCAGCTCACTCCACCCCAGACCCTGGGCACAGAGACAGTGAGCAGAGCAGGACTGCCTGGTCACCAAGGAGCTCCCAGTCCCAGGACGCCTTGCACAGCCAAGCCTGAGACAAAGCCATTCTTTTTTTCAGACAACTGCTAAGGTCCCAGCAAGTATCCTGACCTGGGCCTCCAGCTTGCCCTTTCCCACCATCAGGGGCCAGGCAAGCTGTGGTGAGCCGCCCCGGGCTCCCCCCACCTCAGGCCACACCGGAAGTCAGCATGATAAGGGGGCCAGCTGGGTGCAGGGCAACCACAGGCAGGAAGAGTTGGCCGCCATCGGCTACACCTCCTCCCAACCACGCCCCGGGAGCCCACCCTGCAGCCCACCCCTCACCTGAGGTCGAGCTGCTGTACAGTTCATTCTCCTCCATGCAGGGCCTGCCACTCTTCCCCTCCAGCCCTGAGGGCTCCTTCCTCCGCCCCTGGGGAGAAGTTTCAGGTCTTACAACCAACACCATCCCAAGGCCCTCTTTGGCCCAGGCTTTCTTTCAGGGCATGCCCAGCCTGCTAGCCCTGTCCACCCTCTGGATTGGGATCCACCCTTAAGGAAGTGCCCCAGCATTCTGACCTTGGCGCTTCTACCACCTTCCCACAGGAAGTATCTAATGCTCCCCTATGCTTGTAGCCCTTTCTGCACCCCCAGATGACTCACGGGGAAGGCCAAGAGACAGATGGCCTGCATCCAGTCACCACGCTCAGCGGTAGGGGCTGCCAGCAGGTACAGACGCTCCTTGGTCTCCAGAATGAAGGCACTGGTGTCCCGAGGGCTGCTGGCCTCCCCGCCTGCCTCAGCCACCCGCAGGCAGTCACTGAGGCGGATGACCCTCCGGCTGGCCTCTCCCCGACGAGGCTTCTCTGGGCCCTCCTGGAGCTCTAGCCGTGCCAGAGCGCAGCCTGACTCTCCATACAGCACAGCTCCAAACCGGCGCCACTTCTGAACCCAGGTGTGGGAGGCGGAGAACCAAAGGAGTTGGAGAAGGAGAGGCGGTGATCAAAGGGGGAAGAGGAACCACAGGAGAGGGACTGCAGCAGCAATGCGGAGACAGGGAGAGGGAACATTCCCAAGAGATCAGAGGAAGCACAGAAGGCAAAAGGGCCCACAGGATAGAACGCTGCAGATCAGCCTCCAGCAACCAAGACTTTTAGGCCTGCAAGGTGGTGAGCAGGGATGGCCGAGGGCATCCAGGAGCATGGGAATGAGCCCCATGGCTGCAGACTGCAGGAAGGCAGGTGGCAGGCCAACCCTGCAGGGGCTGATGGAAGGAAGAAGAGCCCGAGTCTGGACAGAGTAGGAGGGCGGGCAGTGAGGGCCCAGACCACAGCGTCCTCATCCTGTGGGAAGTCCTGAGGAAGGGCCTGGCTCAGGAACATCCCTCCTCCCTCCTGAACCTTTCTGCCTCACCACTTGACAGGGTGACCAGCCATGAGAGAGAGAAGTGCCTGGGTGGGGGTCAGTGAGGAAAGAGGACTTCCTCATTCAGGAGGCCAGGGAGAAGGAGGACATTGAACAAACTGGAGCCCCAGGTCCCAGAGGTCCCAGCCCAAGCTTAATGCTAGCCACACACACCCCACCTGGGTAAAAAAGGGGGAAGGAAGCTCCACTGTCATCCTCAATTGTCCCCCACAAGTTGTCCCCACAAGAAGTCAACAGAACGAGAGAGATTAAGTCATCACCCTCCTTCCTCCCCACCCCCAACCCTATAACCCTCAGCAAAGAGCACAGTTTGGGGACTGATTTGAGGCCTGGTTTGGAAGACAAGTCAGGTGAGAAAGGAACCCTCCTGGGGCGGAGCTGTCATCTGTCCTGGTGGACAGCGAGGTTCCACAGGAGTTTGGAGACACTGAACTCCCCCCACCCCAGGAATTTCTAGCAGCTCCTACTCTGCCTCGCCCTGGCCCAGCCTGGTGCCCACCTTGCCAAAAGTCTGCTGCTGCTGGAGGTGCAGGAAGCCCTGCTTTACCGCCACCTCTTCCATCCTGACCATCGCCGCCCGGGCTCCCGCCCTCGCTCCTCTCTCTTCTTGGCCTGTGTTCCCCCTTCTCTCAAGTTCATTTCCTCTCTGCCTAGAGCTTTCTGCACTATTCTAGTCTGCGCGATGACGACAAGCTGATAGGCCCTGCGGTTTCTTGCTCCGTATGTGGTTTTCTTCTTTTTTTTTTTTCTTCTGATGAGAGAGTTTCATGCTCAAGCTTCCTGCATTTCCAATGAGTAACACACAATTTCCAAAAAGCTAAATTTCAGCTCCTCAGTGAGCAACAAGTCAGGTAAGGAAACTAGCATGGGGAGTGGCTGACGGGCAGGAATAGAGACCCAGAAAGAAAATCACAGTAAAAACAGGAGCAGAAAACCCCGGGCTCAGGCTGGGTGCTGAGCATGACTGAGCAGGAAGAGACCTGAGGAATCAACCATCACAACTTCCTAATCGAAAAGGGAGGAAACAGACTTGGAAAGGTCTGAGGGACTCCTTCAAGGCCACCAAACCAGAACCCAAGGGCTCTCGACTCAGTAATAGCTGAATCACACAGTGCATTCCACACAAAGACTTGACTGCCCCAAACTGCACCCTAGTCGGACAACACTTTTATAAACACACAGATGCACCTGTCCCTCTACATGAGAGCATTCCCTGCTGCCAACAACACCACACATCCCCCTGTGAAGATACTAGAAACATCAACTTCCCTCTGGAGAAGGGACTTATTCCCCAGATACATCTCAACCACTAGATTTCACCTTCTTGCTAGCCCTAGAGAGCATTAGAAAGATACTTGGGTTTCATCTGAAACTTAAATTCCAGTAGCTTCATACTTTCCAAAGCTTCCAAGTACACTCTTTAACCAGCCAGCCAGTGTCCCTTGACAAAGGCAGGGCAGGCATGAACTCAGCTAAGGCTGGGGCTGGGGGTTGGGGGAGGAAGTCAAGCCCAGGGCTACACATCTCTAATGCCCTGTTTTACCAGGCCCCAAAGTGGAATCCAGACTCCATGAAAGAAGATACATGGCTTTGGGGAAAGATGCATGGCTCCACAAGAAATTCACCTTAGAACCAGATGGCTTGAAGAAGCAATCTGGATGGAGGCACAGTGCAAAACTGTTGGGGAAAACTGTGAATTAGACAAATGCTCGTGGGGTCAATCCCATAAAGGTGCTTATATAACTGCATCCATTTCCTCTACCACAAGGGTTCAGGTGCCCTAGTGAGGAGAGTGGTGCATAACTCAGGCCTTCTGTTGTACATGCCAGGGGATCAAAACAGCTTACAGAGGTGCATGGGCTGGCTCTGGGGGCTGGGCCACTCCATCTCCCTGCCCTCAGCCCAGGGTTTGAAAGGTTGATCTAAAGCCCAAAGGAGAACCATTAATGTTGTCCTGGATAAAGCATACACTTGGAAGTGGCTAGGAGTACACATTTAGGATGTGGCCTATTGTGTCTCTAGAATCCCTAAGGAGAGTCAGCCCTGCCTTGAAGTTAGTGGGGTAAGAGGATTTAGCGTCATATTTTAGGGACTGCCAGAGAATGCCCTTCAGACTTTAGTGTGCAAATCTTGCTAAAAGTGCAAAGGGTGATAAGGCAAGTCTGAAGTCAGTTCCGAGATGTTGACACTCCTGGTGGGTGGGCCAGGCCATAAGGCAGCAAGGCTGCAGAGGATGTTCCTCCCACCACACTGCTCTCCTTCCCCAGAGGTAAGTGGGACACATTCCACTCAGAACCACAGGGGGGCGCCCAAGTTAATCAGATTCCTTGGAAACTGTTTAAACCTGGAGGCCTCAGCCCCAGGTAATCCAGACACCCCCATCCCATCCCAGGCCCGTGGAAGCTGGAGAAATCCTCCTTCTCCAGCCTCACTCTGAAGAAAGTAACAGGACTGTACTAAGAGCAACACACCTGTCATCTGTCAAGTTCAACTTCACCTACGCACTTACCCCAGTAGCTTCTGCCTAGCCTCTGGGGGCAACCTGTGAACAGGGGCTGACACCTCCCCTCCCAGGAACTGAAGAGGTGAAAAGAATTAGACAACGTTTAGTACCCCAGGCACCACTGAAGGGAAGAAAAAGTATCACAGATCAAAGGATCCCAGGGGGTCTATATTGAGACACAGGTGTGTTTGGGGTGGCACCTGGCTTCTGCTTTCACTGGAAAGGGAGGGTCTATAGTAGAGGCACCCCTCAATTATAGGCCACTGAGACCCTTTCCTTCACAATGGTTCTTCTCAGCTGGAGTGAAGAGAGACAAGAGCTCCAAGAACTTTGCAACTTTTTGTTACTATCCTACAGAGATTAGCAACCAAATATTTAACACAAAGAAGTTTGTAAACTTTCCTTTGGGGGCAACAGAGGAAGGAACAGGAGAAACTATATCTGACTATTTGTACAAGCTTGGGGGTTAGTAACCTCAAATGATGTTACAGGTGGGAGCAACTACGTAAGAGGCAGCTCTGGGCATACAACAGGAGCACAGGTATAAAGTAAGCAAGAGAGATGACAGGGGCCTGGAAAGGACGAAAGACTGGACAAAGAAATAAGTGAGCAGAGATTCTGAAAGATCTCATCCCTGCCTCCCCCATGCCCAGTGGATCCTGGCTGAGGAGAGGAGGAGGACAATACCAGTCTCCAAGTTTCATTCCTAGACTATCCTTTCTCCATTAAGTACGTTATTTGTCCTATCACAGAGGTCCTTCCTTATCTATAATTTCAAAAATCACAGTCCAAAAATATTAAATAGAAAATTCCAAAAACAAACAATTAAGTAACTTAAGTATTAAGTTACTTATTAAGTAACTTATTAAGTAACTTAAGTAACTTATATTGCTCTATATCACCTATTGTTGGTAATCACTTAATGTGCCTACTTTGTAAATGACTTTAGAATAGATGTATATAGGAAAGATATAGCATTCATAGGGTTTGGTACTATCTGCAGTTTCAGGCACCCATTGGGGATCTTGAAATGTATCCCCTGTAGATAAGGGGGAAATGGTGTACTAAAAGCACCCAGTTCTTGAAATTTTCTGAGTAAAGGACTATAATAGAACAGAATTGCAACTGTAAGAAGGCCAGAATGATCAGAGTATTATGAGCAAGCACAGACACTGAAGAGGTGAATTCATATCATGTGGCTTCTTGAGCCACAGCAAGGATTTGGATTCTAAATTCAATGGGAAGCCACTGAGGGACTGTAAGTAATGGTGTAAATTATCTGTTATAATTTTAATTCTGCAGCTGTATAAAAAATGAATTATCAAGGAGGAAGACAGAAAGTACAAAATCTAGTTATAAATCTAATATCTGAGCTAAGAGAAATGGTGGCTAGGACCAGGGTATTAGCAGTAGAGATAGAGAAGTGGCCAGACTGGGGCATAAATTAGGTAAAGACTCAGCAAGAATTGCAGATGTATTTGGATATAGGGTACTAATGAGAAAGAAACTAAGATAACTCCTGGGTGCTTATTTTGAGCAATTGGCTGATGGATGGTGGTACCATCTTGATAAAGGGAAGAGAAAGAGAAAAATAACTGTATGGGTGGACAGCATTAGGGGAAAGACACAAATCTGAGCCAGGAAGCTGTAACCTCTCCCCAATCAGTCAAGGAGGGAATCCAAAGATGATCACTGAAATAAGAATTCAAGAATATACCACCTTAGTGTAACTCAAGGCCATCCCTGCTTCTTTACACTCATAGTGCTTAAGGGGGGGGGGGGGGCTGGAATACACAAGTACAGAAACCAAGAGATGTTAGGCGCATTGGGCTCCCCAGAAATGAGTCTAAAGCTCTGCCTCACTTATGCCTCCTAAATCTTTTCTGAGTCTCATTTACTGAGCCAATCTTGCATACAGAACCTTTGCTACAAAGGAGTCTGGGTAATGTAGTTTTTACACGTCCTACCTTTGTGAATCAGGAAGACACACTAGGAGAACCAAGAGCACCATATCACTATATACGAACATAAAAGGTGTGTAATTTACTACCACCGTCATTTGGATTATACATGGTAGCACCCAGTAAATACACAGACTTCAAATAACCAACGCTCTGGAAATCTACTTAAGATGGAATGTGGGGGAGAGGGGAGATCTAATGTAGGGGCATTGAATAGAAACTAGAGTAGAATCCAGTTAAAGAAGAACTTGCATTATCTAACACAGGTAACTCATAATGGGAAAAGCAGGAATTGGAATTAGCTGTCCTACCAGCCTGAGCCCAGGGGTCCTAATGACCACCAGCAGCACCCCTCCCAGCATCTGACCCCTTTGAGGAGGTAGCCTAGAGTACTGGTTAAGATAGCAATCGGTTTCAGGAGATTAAGACAGTGCCTTCTGTGTGTTTTGATCATCACCACTATTTGGAAGCTATTTCCATGACTGCTTATGCAGGCAAAAACGACAGAAATGAAAACAAGGAAATCACTACTAGGTCGCTGGTAAAATCTGATCAGAGGGCAATGGCCCCGAACAGAAAACTAGAAAACTACAAACATAAATCCAACTGCTGAAAACAGTGTATTGGAGAATAATGAACAGTGCAGGTATGTGGGGATGCGTCGGCCCCGCGCACCACCAAAGCCCCCCGGGGGGGTTACAGTAGGTGCGCTGCCGGGTTGCTGTTGCTGTTGGCAGTGGTGGTGGTGGTGGCGGTGTCGTCCCAGGGGCAAGTCAAGGGGAAAGACACGTGGGCAGAGGGGAATACCCAGGGGGCAGGGGTTCCAGGTGGGGACGACCCCGGCCCCCATCCGGGAGCCCTCACAGCGCACAGAAGCAAAAGGCTGCGCCACCTCCTACGCCAGCGCCCGCCCTCCGGAACGAACGCGGCCCCTTTAAAACCCATGTAAACAAAGCTTTGTTCCCCCAGCTCCCCTCCCTCGCGCTCCCCGGGCCGGCTCCTTCCTCCCACCCAGCGTCTCGGGGCCGCTGACGTTGCCCGCGCCTTTACGCCGTCCCAGCCGCGCTGCGCATTCTCCAACCACGGCCGACCCGCCGGGGCCTGCGCAGCCGAGCGGCGCTACGCCGCGAGCGTAGCGCGACGAGCCCCCAGCGCGCAGGCGCAGCGGCGACGGCGGCGGCGGCGGCAGCGGCCCCGGCCGAGGTGCGCGCTGGGGGGGAGGGGGGGCCGGAGAGGAGCATGAATGGAGCAAAATGGCGGATCATGTGCAGGTGAGAGGAGCCGCGGGGGGAGGGGGCAGCCGCGGAGAGCGGGGAGTGGAGTGGGGGGCGCACGCGGCCCCCGGGGCTCGAGCCGGCTCGGGGCTCGCCAGGCCGCGCTGCCGCCACTCGGGGCTGCCGAGCCGCCGCCCGTCCCGCAGCTTCGGGGCCTTTCCCGCCTCCCGGGCCGGGGGCCTCCTCCATCCCCTCCCACCCGGTCCCACGCCTCGCGCTAGGCGCTGGAGGGGCAGGATCCGTGCCCGGCGCGCACAGCCCCGGCGCCGGGCGGCCGCTGCCTCCCAGCCGGCCAGAGGCCTCCGCGGAGTCCTCAGGGTCCCCCAGCAGGGAGGGCAGGGCGACCCCTTGCTGGATGTCCCGAGGGGGGCTGCCCCGTCACGCCGCCGTCACGCCGCGATAACAAAAAAGGATCCTCACTCCGGTGACCCTCGCTCCGCTGAGTCTTTCCCGCCGCCTTCCTCCTCACGGCCTCGAATGCGATAGACCCCCATCCGGCCTCCTGCCCCCTCCCCGGATGCGCCCTCCTCTCCCTCACTTCGGATCGCACGTCCCAGAGGGCCGAGCTCTCCCGGTCCTCCAAAATGGGAGCTCGGGCCTCGGCCCGCCTCCCCTCGCGTCCCCCTGTCCACAGTGAAGGAGTTGAGCGCCCACACCTCCTGTGAAACGCGGGGTGGAGGGGGGTGTGTCTGAAACGAGAGCTGCAGGGTTGGGTGCAGACGGTGTTCGCGAGGGTCTTGATCCGGCCCCGGAGCGGCCCCACGCGTGCTTCTGGACCAGGCCACTTTTCCTCAAAGACACAACACAGGCCCGAAAAAAGGACAGCCCACACAAAACCCAGTAGTAGCTGGAGGAGCGCAGGGTATTTCTGGCAAACTAGGTAAAGTTTTTCCTCTCTGTGCCTTAGATCTGATATTTTTATGACAGTTATTGATGCAAATCCATTGGGAACCTTCGGATTTTCTAAGGAACCAATCCCACAGGTTTTGAGTTGTAGGAAGTAAAAATTACAGAGCAATGTCGCCTTTATTTTGCATACTCTATGGTATCATTCCTCAAATAAAAAGAATGATCTTATTCCTGGTATATCTACAAAAGCGTCAGTGGCATGACTTCGTTTCTTTGGAAGAGAAGAGACTAAATAAAAGACTCATTTTGCAGGCGAGGATGTAGAGCAGATCTTTGGAATGAGAGGGACAAGTTATCAGGTCAGGATTATATCAAGAAACAACCACAAATGAAGATCACAAGATTTGTGTTTTGAAGCCAGCATCATGGCCAGCACCAGCGAAAATAGCAATAAAATTTGTACAAAATGGTAATAATAATAGTAGTATGGTACCTTGAGTTTTATTGCAGCTACTGCTAAGCATGAAGCAGTTTATGTGATTTAAAAAAAAAAAAATCCTTGCATTTTAAATAAGTAAGTAGGCAGAAATTACTTCTGGCACTTAAAGGAACAGACTCGATGAACAGGACTGATGCGAAATTTGCTTACAGTAAAGAGCACTTTGGGTCCAGTGGTCTTTTATATACTAGGGGGTAAAAAAAATAGTGCCCATGAACTCATTCCAGAGCATGAGTTGAATAGATAGCCTTTTTAAAGGATGCTTTGGCCTGCAGAGGAAGAAGCGGATACTTTTATAGATATACATCTGTCTTGTTTACTATAAAGAAGGATCCCTTCGTGTGAGCTCTCCCACATTTCTGGAGCAAAACAGTTGTCATTCCTAATTGTTAGAAAGTCAAGATGTATCAAAGCAATTTTCATAGCATTTTTTGCTCAAAGGAGGGTTTGTAGTTTTTAGTAAGGAGTTGTTTTTCTCTAATCCACCCAAAAATAAATCTACCAAAGTAAGAATTAGCTTTTCAAAACAGGGAAGCATGCTGTCAGTGGTTTGTTTTTATTCTTCATTTACTTTTAAGAACTTTTAAGAATTCAATTGAGTGGTAAGTGGTGTCTATGCCAATGGGATAAGTTTGTGATTTTTTTCTTTCTGGAGAGAATGGGGTATGTGGCTTTTCTTTGTTAGACCACCAAGTTAGTATTGGGCACTCACAGACTTTAAAGTGGTGTTTTATTGTAACAGGAAACCTTTCCATGAGAAAAGATACACTCTCCTTTCAGTGAATTTAGTAAATAAAAACCAGTTTGCAGTGCATTGAAGAGGGAATACTTTCCTCAAAATGCTGTTTGAGCATGAAATTTAATAAAGAAGTTTATTACAGTTTATTAATCTTAAGATGAAGATTATTTGAAAGCTCCACATGTAGAACTAAATAGTTGAGTCATTATATATCTAGTACTTTTCTGAACCACCAGGGTGAGCCATTTTTTTTTTAACTCCATGCTAAGCATTTTATGATTGTCAAGTCCTCTCAGTCTGAAGTCTTAGATATCTCTCCTCTAAGGTTGTGTTTTATGAAAGATTTTAAGTGCTGTAAAACTTTAGTAATGGAAAAATTATAATATTTAGTTTGTCTTTTAGCTCTGTTGCTGTCATAGTCAAGTGTCTTTAGGATAGTACCCTGAAGCAGCTCTTTGATGGATTGGTTTTCTTATCCTTGGTCTTAA